CGATCGGCTCGCCGATGCCTACGTTGAAGTTCAACGGTTGCATGCCCGGCTGTAGGGGACCGACAAAGGCCAATGGGTTGGGATACATCAAAGTCGGATCGAGAGCGTCGTCGGGGCCAGGTCCGCTTCCACCGCCGCCGCAATTGCCCAACGCGGACCTGCCAGATCCGCCTGGTGCGCCGAAGCCACCGCGTTCCACGCCGGTGGAACCGGACGACTGATGATGATGATGATGGTACGGCATAACGGATGTCATCGGCGCCATCGGCGTCATCGGCGTCATCGGCGTCATCGGCGTCATGGGCGCTACGAATTGCCCAAAGCCGGTCATCCCGGGCGCAAATGAGCTGGTCGCGGGCATGTTGAACCCGGAAAATGGATAAATCTGCTGTCCGGACGAAGGCTGGAGGCTGGGAAATCCTGGCACGTAGACATAGCGCATGGTGGAGAGGCAGATTGCAAATTAGATTATTTTTCGAATTAAGTATTGTTTTTCGTGACTACCAGCAAATCAGTTATAAGATGTATTCACACAATTTCGTTTAAGGTGATGAAGGACTGGTGGAAGTAGAATTTTCCCACAAATGATATAAGTTGGACTGACGTTCCCATTGAATATTTACATAACTTTGCATTCCCTAAAGTTGTTCTCATCCAGGTGGACTGCAGTTTCGACCTCACCCTCAGCGGGACTCGAACCGCGACAGTGCAGGACGGTAGCTTGACACGCTAACCACTCGGCTACACTTCCACGAGCGTCTTTTGGGTCACAAGGCAAATGTGAATTTTCAAGGAAGGCCAGGCCTTTTTGTCATATCATATGTTTTTTTTGTGGAATTGTCGATGAAGCAAACGTATGTTTTGCTATAACAATCGACTACTATAGTTTATTTTTTGAATTAAGTATTATTTTTCGTGACTACCAGTAAATAAGTTATAAGATGTATTCACCCAATTTCGTTTAAGGTGATGAAGCACTGGTAGAAGTAGAATTTTCCCACAAATGATATGAGTTGGACTGAAGTTTTCATTGAAAATTGACATAGCTTTTCATTCCCAAAAGTTGTTCTCCTCCAGACACCAGTGGACTGCAGTTTCGACCTCGCATTGGTCTTATCAACACCCTCAGCGGGA